AGGGAAAACATGGTGTCAATTCAGTTTTGCAGAAGGTAATAGTGACATTTAAAATACTGCAAGTACACTGTAATGTCTCAACATTGAAGAGCAATGACAGAATAAATAGAAATTATGTAAAAGCCCCAACTTTAGAAGTCTTACCTCATCTGAAATATTCCTTCTTATCTCCTTACATTAACTTTTCTAATAAGACAATGATAATTGGCAACTGAAATGCTTCAAGCAATCAAATAAGATGTCAGCAACAGAATTTCTCATTGAATAGAGAAGTTAATTTTAAGTTACTAATTCCAAATCTGAAGTCTTCTGACTGACCTGCAGTCTACAGGTTGGAAAGAAGGCTTGAGCAGCATATCCTATTTTTTGCCACATATAAGGGGACTGTGAGGAACACCAGTAACTAGCTGATGGTATTGTGATCAGCGTTCAAGGTATAAGAACTTTTTTCTGAAGGAGGTTGGGGGTATATGTGCATGTGCATTAGGTCACAACCAAAATGTTGTAGAATATTTCAATTTGGTAGCTGTATGCAATGAAATGAGTGAATAAGTGGAAGCATGTGCCAGAGTAAGCACACTGATTATTGTTCATTATGTTTACAAGAAATTTCATTTTCTTTTGGCGTTTGTAATACTGAGGTGAGTGAACACAGTCAATAATTCTGGTGCTTTTGTAACTAGAGGAAGTCAAAGTGAGAGGAAAAGAGGAGTCTGGTGTAATATATGCTTTGTCTCTTCCTTTATCCCACCAGGCCTATGATTCATTTAAGGTTAATCTTCACATGTTAACAAAGCTATTTCATTAAACAAATTTAGATAGTGTTTGCCATTAACATCAATCATGACATTGTACTTTTGTACTCTGGCATTCATGTAGTACAGGTTACTAATTCTTACTCATGAGGATTTATGTCTCAGTCACATGAATATGCTCTGGCTGAGGAAGGGTTAACGACATTCATTAATTGCCTTGGCTATTTGGAAAGTATGACTTTGGCAGGTAAATGTACACAGCATATTGCAGGTGCACAAAAGCTTGTTCTTGTGGGAATGGAAATGATAAAAAACCATTGGGATCATGTTGCCTCAGGCTTACAGCAATCACACGACCCTTGTTGCGGAAAGTGAACAGGCTGATCTTGCCATTGCCAGCAACATACACTGTCAATGCACCAACATTATTTTCTAGTGTTAATTATGTAATAAAACCAAAATAGGATTAAAAAATAACTATTTTATTTGCCACCTTCTCAACAGATACTTTTTGCAAAAATAAAAATATTTCTCTTTCCATATTCAGACTGGGTTTTGGATCAAAAGCTCTACCTAGTTATGCTCTTCTTGGTGTTTCATCTTTCCACCTGCCTTTCTTTTCCTACCTTCCCCTTGGTTCACTTCTAAAAACTGTGCTTTGGAAAGTGCTGACATAGTGGAGAAGAGTCATCTGCCTCCTAACCCCAAGCGGGATGGAACAGGAGAAAATGAATTCAGGGACACAAAATACAAGACTTTTTGAAGCTCTTATTTGCACTGAGACATTGCAATTTGAAACCAAGGAAACAAAACTTTTTACCCAAAATGATAAGCAAATCAAGCCATTTGTTTTTAATGACATCTCCTTTTAATTTATTGTTCAGAAATTCTCCTATTTCCACAGCTGCCTGTTTGAACAGTTCCTTGCTACATTTTTTCCATCCATCTGTAGTGTATCTTTTTACAATGATGTCACTTGAAATAGTGAACTGTCATTATCAATAAAAAAAAATGGGAAATAAGTCTTCAATGAAAATGGAAAGTTCATTCTGGATTATTAAAGTGCTACTGTGAGTGTGATATGAATGCTTTCACCATGGCTTCATCTGCTGAACAGAAGTGACTAATTTTCTTTTATTTTGGAAGTCATAGCCCATTATTTTGAGGTTTATATTCTTTGGATTTGGCTTTGGGGCATGAGAAAATTCTGTCTGCAAAAGCCAGTTGTGTTAAGTTACATTTTGGCAATGTATTATACAGAAAAAAATGAGGATTACAGAGAACAGCCGACATCATATACAGTGCTTACATGTTATGATAAAGAGAGTGGAAAGCAGTATGTGACTGATGTTTCTAAATGAAGTAAATATTTGATTACTTTTTTTTGTTATTGTTCTTTTTTTTTTTAAGCATATCCGTAATATGAGGGTTTACCTCTTTATAATAACATTATTTTTCTGTCGTAGAAGTGAAAAAAGGCATGTTGTATGGTTCTGTAAGCAGGCTGTCATGTTCTAAGTGTATACATACTTTTCTAGATGTAAGAAATGAATTAAAAAACCCAGACTAGACGCTGATGGGACTTGGGGGGGGATTTTTGGTTTGGGGTTTTTCTGTGTGCAAGTGTGGTTTTTGATGTTTTTATTGTTGTTTTTTCCTTCTTGACTCTTTATGCATATGGTAACAGAAAATATTAAAAGTATAGCGGATTGAAAATGTAAACCGTACCCAGGAAAAGAAAAAGAGACAGAGTGAGCAAGCAACAGAAAAGATGTAGCAATAGGTTTGTCCTCTGGTCTAGTGCTGACATCTCTTTACTGCTCTTCCTTTTTTCTGTTTGTTTGTTTGGTTGGTTTTTTTCTTATCCAGGATAGCAGTAAAGTGTATACAACTCACGTTTCCTACTTAGAAATCTACAATGAATGTGGTTATGATCTGCTGGACCCAAGACACGAGGCCTCCAGACTGGAAGATTTGCCGTGAGTAACAAAACTACAGAGAATCATCAAAAACAACAACAGAAATAAATTTTCAAATGCTCTGTTGCATTGTTTGGGGAACTTTTGAAATTGTGCTACTGACCTCAGTATTAGCTACAAATACTCTGCTTTCTCAATGTTACCAACACTGTGCAAGGGATAGGGAGAAAAACTCCCTGCTTCTACTTGGACCTTTTCCTTTGAGGATACTTATTTTTCTCTAATAAGCAATTATGAAATAAAGTAATTAAGTAACAGATAGAAGAGGCCACAAGGCACTCGAAAGGACAGTATCTTTACTTCAGAATGGATAACAGTTATAATAGTTGTAATTGATGAGACACTAGCGCCTACTAATGCTTGGAGAAGGGCAGTAAATAAAAGTGAGTAGGTCATGAACACATAAACCTGGTGAAGTTAAAGATCTTATAATTTACAGGAAATTCAAACCCTAGTTTCTAAGTTTCTTCTGCAAAAATATAGTCTATGTTATTCTTAAAATAACTCAGCAAAGAGTACATATGTATAAATAAGTTAATTGTTGAATGCTTGGATTTGCAAATGCACTGGAATATGCTGGGAACCATAAACTTTCTCACTCAACATGGTGGTGACTGAAACATGTGAACAGCAATTAAATCACTGCTGATACAAGAGCAGGACAGGTAGTGAAAACTGCCAACAGAGCAATAACCAATTCAGCAGAATTTTATATCAAAATAGCTGTTCATGTTATTAACATATTAACCCCATTTTATTTATTAAAAAAAAAAAAATCTTCCAAATTGTGTTAAAATCTGGCTTTGGTGGCATCTAGGACATATATCTACAAAAAACTTGCAAGACTGATCTCTATAAAACAAGCTGGTCTAGAGGTAAGGAAGGCAGCAGACAAATTCAAAGTGTGCAACTGAGCTGTAAGTTGGTCTCATTGCTTCACTGTCTTCGTTGCTAAAACAGAACTGAATTTTATCACTTTGTAACACCTTGATGCTATAAGGATTTGCTGATGTCTTTCATGATAACGTTTAGGAACTTAATTTGATTTATTACCTGCTTCCTGTTCTATGCAGAGAAAAATTCTAAATCAGAGACCAATTTGGATAATAATTTAGTTTTTGTGCCCATTTGTATGTAACAAATAGTCTGTTACTAACACCTTTATTCAGCTCATTAAAGGTAATGTTATTAAATTATTCAAGTTTATTAAATTATTAATTTCATTTATTATTATTTCCAATATTTTGTTTGAACTCATTCCACTTATTCATTTTATTAAATTGAATTTATTCAATTGAACTAAATTGAATTTGATTAATTTAATTGCAGCCTTATTTGAAACAATTATTTGGTGGTCATATGCCCCGGAAAAGATGTCACTTTTTAAAACTGAGTTCTGAATGTTTACTAATAATCATGAATTTAAAATTGGTTTATGCATGGTGATTAAATTAAGCTAAAGAATAACTCCTTGTTTTGTATTAGTCTATTTTTACAAAGTGAAAGTTGACAAATAGTTTGGTTGAGAATTAGGGATAAAGCACAGTGGAGTAATCATAATTACCTGTAAGCTTATGTAGTGTATACTATTGCAGGAGGGGTTTTTGTGAGATAATAAATTTTTCTCTGCAGAGTAGCTAATCTTAACTGCTCAATGGTTTGACTACACATGGTCATTATTGTTTCCAGTACATGATTTGTCAAAAAAATATGTACTGTACACTAAAACTATACCTTCACCACTCATATTTAGCACTGTATGAAAGTATCTAATTAATAAAATATTTTTGTTTATATTTTAAGATAATAATGTAGGGATTCAAAATTTAAAAATATATAGTGACATTCTGAGCTGAAAAGGGAGTACAAATTGCAGGACAGGGTGGTTGCACAATTAACTCTATTTTAGTTGCTTGGTTAATTTTTGTAAATGACAAAGTAGTAGTTGCACATAAAGTAAGTAGTACTCACATTAGTCAAAATATATCAGGTGTTTATTACCTAATATGTATTTCATTTTTTGGAGAATTTTATGTGCTTAAGAGCTTTTAAGATTTTAGTGGTAGTAAGCAAAGTACAGAATAATCTAACTTCCTCAAGTTTCCTTGAAAGCATGTATTTAATGACAACATTAAAAGAAAAAGGGTCATTTTATGCATAATTTCCTGTTGAACTCCACAGTGGATACTCAAAGTTGTAAGTGATGTACAAAGCCAAATGCAGGTTTTCTGTGCTTGGGTAAATACTAGCAGTCTGTGCTGATATTCTCCCAAGTCTATCAGATGGACAAGAGAATTGTTGAAGAAATGGGTCATTTTAGAAGAAGTTAAACAGAAGATTAGTTAGCCTCATAAAATAAGCAACTTGTTTTGGACCAGCGTCGTTAGCCATGTTCCTGCAAAAGAAGGGGATGCGATTTGAATCAGAGATATGTATTTCTGCCTAACAAACTCGATCTTGATGACTTTACATTAATGGAAGTTCAATGGAAGAAATCATAGAATCACAGAATGGTTTGGGTTGGAAAGGAACTTAGAGATCATCGAGTTCCAACCCCCTGCCACGGGCACGGACACCTCCCTCCCACTAGCCCAGGTTGCCCAAAGCCTCATCCAGCCTGGCCTTGAACCCCTCCAGGGATGGGCACAGGGCATTCAGGTAATCGAATTTATGAAAAAGAGCACAACAGACTTGTTGATAGTACTTGAAAAATGAGACATTAAAATTGTATTTGATGTTTAAGGCAAAGTGAATAATGAAAGTTTAAAAAAATTGCCGATTACATCTGATTACTGTGTGATTAGATTTGGAATCTCATCTCCTGAAGTCAGTGTTTTGTGTTTAGCCATCCTTTGTGTATTCTGTAGACTTAATTTCATCTTAATACTGCTTAATCATTTCAGTAGGTTCTGACAGATGAGAAGGGAAGATGCTCTCGCGAAAAAATCACTACTTTTCTGGAAATAAATTCCTGATGAATGTCTGAATGTAGTTCATATACCTGTATGTCTATGCATATGGATTCATATAAAGAATTACATAATCGTTTGTCTATGCATATGTGGAGATATGTTATATAATATTTCTATATGTATACATAAATATGTATCGTTTCTAACAGGTACATATATTTATACATCAACTAAATTTGTTTTTGAAATCCCATTGAATTTTTATTTATGGAGAAAAAAGCCTGGTTTTCATAATGTTTATTTGTAATGATATTACATGCAGCCCATAGAAGATATCATTTGATATACCTTAACCCTTCATATACAATATGCCTTAGTTTACGATTGCAATTTGTTTTGCATACCTACAGCTGACAGTGTTTTAATTCTGTGACACTGGAACTGTAACACAGCCAATGCAGATGCAAATATGTTTGAAAAATCTTCTTTACTAGAATGCAAAAATTTAATTTAATATTAACAATCTAATTCTGGCTGTAGTTGTAGAGAGTTCCATGTTTTTACAATGGAATTACAATTGTTTTCAAACATGTGAAAAGTTTAAACTATTGCTAGAAAATGTAACCAGTAGAAAACTATTTGAATTCTTACTGCCATCTCTTGTTTTCATAAAAGATTTGCAGGACTGTTCAAATTAGGAAAATTTTTCTGAAGCTCTTTGCTTTTCTGTTGTGCAAGATGCTTTCTCCTTCAGCAGGTTCTCTGTTGCACAGTGTATTTGTAATTTATATAACTCCATACACTGAATCAAAGCAATTTCATTTGGTTGAATCTAAACTGCCCACCGGCACAAGTGATTTCCAATTTTGTGTGAAGATTATTTAAAGTCCTTCTTGATAGGGAAATGTATAAGATTTAGTGAGATGTTAGCTGGGTCTCTTTAGCCTGGAAAAGAGGAGACTGAGGGGTGACCTAATCAATGTTTATAAATACGTGAAGGGTGAGTGTCAGGAGGATGGAGCCAGGCTCTTCTCTGTGACATCTAGTGACAGGACAAGGGGCAATGGATTCAAGCTGGAACATAGGAGGTTCCACTGGAATATGAGAAAAAACTTCTTCACGGTGAGGGTCACCCTGCTGCCCAGAGAGGGTGTGGAGTCTCCTTCTCTGGAGACATTCAAAGCCCGCCTGGATGCGTTCCTGTGTGATCTGATCTGGGTGTTCCTGCTCCGGCAGGGGGATTGGACTAGATGATCTTTCGAGGTCCCTTCCAATCTCTAACATTCTGTGATTCTGTGATTCTGTGGTCTTCATCGTCTGGAAATTATCTGTAACCATTGGTCAAAATGTTGCCTGGAAAGATCCTTAAAAGTTTAAATACTATGCCAGGTGTGCACAGTAAAACAACTTTGTTTTCCTAAATTGTACAAAGAGGTAGATGATGCTTACCATGTAATTTCAAAATATTAAAATTAGTCAAAGCATCATACTGTAATCAGAGCCACTCTGGGCCTTAGTGTGTGGTGTACGCACAGGTGGAATCGTGGACAGAATATAACGACAGTATCAAAACATGCAAGTGTAGAATTATGCTTTGGGGTTTATGTTCTGAATGGGGGAAGCAGAGTTTCATGGCTGCACTAGTGCTGTCTTATCCTACCGCTTGAAATTAAGGCTGTAAGTGGGAGGCAATCATACTTGTAAAAACAATTGTTCTGACTACTGAAGAAGCATCATGGGTACTTTTATGTGTATTTTTTTTCTTGAAAACAGCGAGTATATTGCAATGTGTTTAAATTATTTCTGTATATCCATTCCAATGTTTTGACCATCAGAGGGTGAACTATGTCCCTAATAGTTAAGAGCACTACTATGGAATGCCACTTGACTGCTTGATTTGACAAGCAAAGCAGAACAAAACCCAACCTGTGGCGTTTTGAAGCAGCTTGGAGTAATTAACATGCAAGAACTATCTAGAGATAAAAACTCAAGCCCCATACTCCCTCTTGTGGTTAATCTCGAAGAATATGGAAAAATACATATGTATACATGCTTACATATACACATATATGTGAATACGTATGTATATAAAGTGCTATCTATATTTACAGGAAAAAATGTTCTTTTAAAAAATTCTGAATTTTAAAAAAGTTTTAATTTGCTTCTTGTAAATTGTCTCAGAACTTACCCTTTTTCAAATTTATTATTCATTTACCCTGAAGGACATGTCATTCATTCTTAGAATTAGTGTACTTCCATTTTAACAGTCTTCGCTCTGGGAGTTTTCCAAATCCAGTGATGCAACTAGCTGGCTTCCATGTTGGATCCTATAGAATGTCCTAACTGAACAGACTCTAATGGCTACTCAGTAAAGCCAATAAAGTTTAACTCTCAGTAACCTGATCAAAAGAAAAAATTCTTATGTAAAAGAGCTATTTAAAGAAATTAAAAGGAGTTTTGGTAATATTTAGTAGCTCTCCTGGAGCTTTTACCGTTGCTACTTCCATCTAACTTCCTTTTTCTGAAGTTTAAGGATTAAAGAAGTACAATTGAGAGCATTTCTGACCTCAGTGGAGATAAATAAAATAATTCTGTTTGTTTGCATTTAATTTAAGGGATCATTTACATTTGTAGTTATTAGCATTTGAGAAGAATGAAAAGAGAAATAATCTTGACAAATGCAAAGTTATTAGAAACATGTTGGCTACAGATGTGTTGATTCTGAAATATTCCATGCCTATTTGTTCATAAAGATTATGGTATGCTATATATATCGTTTGTGCTTAGATAGCTGTGGTAATGGCAAACAAACCCCTGCTTATTTGTTTGTGATGATTCATGTAACCTCTTGCTCTTGAGATTTTGCTACATCTCATTTAAAAAAAAAAACAAAACACCAAAGCTTTCTCTAATAGTTATAGATCTTATATATTCCTTTTCTATGTGGAGGTTTATAATAAAGGAATAAAAAGGAGATGACAGAGTTAAAAAAAAATCAACATTTACTTTAATGTACATAATTTACTTTTCTGCTTTACTTTTAGTGAGGTGGGTGCTAGCCTCTTCTCTAAAGCAACAAGTGACAGGACAAGAGGAAATGGCCTCAAGTTGCACCAGGGGAGGTTTAGGCTGGAGATTAGAAAAAATTTCTTCAGTGAAAGAGTGAAGAGGCATTGCAACAGGCTGCCCAGGGCAGTGGTGGAGTCACCATCCCTGGAGGGGGTCAAGAAACGTGTAGATGTGGTGCTGGGGGACATGGGTTAGTGGGTTGGGTGGGGTTGGTTTGATGGTTGGACTTGATGATCCTTGAGGTCTTTTCCAACCTTGATGATTCTATGATTCTATGATTCATATTTTTAGTTCTTTTATTATGATTGGATTGGGGTTTTAGAAGTCAACTTTCAAATGAAATGAAAGTATGGAATAAAGGTCACCTTACAACAATTCTAGTTTTCATTGGGTTCTTTTGTTTTCTTCCATGTAGAAAAGTGACAATAATGGAAGACCCTGATCAGAACATTCATCTCAAAAATTTGTCTCTTCAGCAAGCAACCAATGAAGAGGAAGCCTTAAACCTGCTCTTCTTGGGAGACACCAACAGAATGATTGCTGAGGTGAGAATTGCTGCTACAAATCTCACTTAACACCACCAGAGTTAAAATGGTCATAAACGTCTCCACATAAGAGAGGGGAGCAGTCCCCTCTTTTTTCTCCTTATTGCATAAGCATGTGGTGTAATGTGTAAAAAACCAAACGGTAGTGCGAAGCACATTCAAAATAAATATTTGCCAATATGCAAAGACAAGGGTGTTTTAACTGATTCTGGAAAATTCTAGTGGAATGTTTCCATATCCAAAATCCGTAGGGTTTTTTTTCCTTATTGTCATACTTGGAAGTGGAATGTAAGTAGAAAAAGTGTGTTGTATAATGAGAGTACTGTCAATATGCCTTTACTACAACACAGCTATTTCTGGTTTAGAAATTGGTGGGTTTTCTTCCTCTGTCTGACCGAAAAGATATATGATAAATCAATGACAAGAAGGACATTTGAATTCTATGAAATAGTCAAGCAGCTCTCTGTTTCTGCTGGCTGGCCATGTACACCTGGGCACAGGGGAAGAAACTTTAGATTACAAAATGTAAATAGGCAAAAAACCTCATTTGTTCTTTCTTTCTCAAGGGGGACTATTTCAACAGTGACATTTTGAGAGGCAGAAAGACGTTAAGGCAAGAGATAATGAAGCTGTGCTTATGGGCTTTTAGTAAATATGAGTATTGAGGCAAGGAATGATTTGATGATATTGAAAAGGAAAAATTTATACAATTTAGAGGAGAGGGACTTGAAAAAGTGTAATAGAGGAGACAAAAATATGACCCGGAGTTCAAAAGCCTGAAAACCTATCATAATAGTTGGTAATGAAAACAGAAAAAGAAAGTTCTTTTCATGGAGAAAGACCTTCAAGAAATCTCTGATCAGTTTAGATGAGCTGTGTATGAAAATGAGACAGAATATTTAAATAATGGTGTGCTGCTGGCTGACAGGGTTGTAAATCTGCAATCGTAAAGGGTGTTTATGTTACGTATTGGGAAAATATTGCCTAATGAGAAAATATAACCCAAACATTGAAGGTTAGGAACTAGCAGACTAATGAAGAAAGTAAGTCATTAAAGGTCAAGATGAGTTAATGCTCAGTAAGACTAAAAAAATATTCTTGATGGGTCAGACCAAAGATATGTTTGCTCCAGTTTCCTGTTTTGAACAAGGGCCAATAACAAATATATAGAGAAGAGTAAAAGATAAACCAAGTAAATAATGATACTTCTTAAAAAAAAAAAGCTTCTAATCTTCATTAGTTTTTGTTCCAGACTATTTATAGCTAATACCTTTTGTTGTATTTTTTCTCTACATGAATTTGCTCAGATGCTTTTTTTAGCCTCCACAAATTTTTATCATTAAATCTTGTGTGACACAAAGGTCCATGACTTAACTGCATCCTGTGAAGAAAAATCTCCTTTCGCTTATTTTTTCTTCTACAACTTTGTGGTTTTATTTGGGGCATGCTAGTACTTGCTAGAAAACATAAGAATAGACATGAGAATGTGTGGGACCCCGATAGCAGAGAATTTACTAATCTGAGTGGCTTGGGTTAGCAAATGCTATGCTATTGTCACTTTTTTTGCTGCTTTTGTCACAGCAAGAGTTTTTTGTTATATAAACACTATAAAGTTATTGTTTCATTGGTCTTTAATGAAGACTACTTAAAAGAAAAAAAATGCAAAGAATACTTGCTTGGAATAACTACCACCCATTGCAGCAATGTTTACTTTGCTGACTCTGAATGCTAATATGATTCCAAAAACTTCAAAGAAAATGGATTTCATTGCAGAAGTTTTGTTATCTCACACATTGTTCCTTTGCAATTGCACCGGGTACGTTGCAGTACCTTGCTGAGTGCTGCTTCCTCCTAGGCGTTACAGGATTTATCACCCATGATCATTTGGCGTTTTTGGCTTTAGGTGACTGTGGTACTTTTTATGATGACTCATGAGAATGAGAAAATCATGTTTGCAGAAATGAGGGATTAATGTAGAGGTCTAGGGAAGAGGACTTATGACATCAGCCATAACTTCTCCAGAGATTGATATTTTTAAGCCTTAATTGAATTAAGATAACACTTCCTGACCTCAAAAAGGATTAGAGCCCTATTTAAGTAAACTTTAAAGAAAAAGACACAAGATGAAAAAGACACAAGATGAATAAACCTAAAGAAAAAAGAAAGTAAAAGAAACGCTTGATTTGTTTTTGTTAATGATGAGGAGTTTGGCTATGGTAAAACTTTAGATGGACTTGTCCTGGATCCCATCTGAAATCTGTGGCCTCTAAAGTTGCATTCTAATGCTCTACCCCTGAGATAACCCCTCTTTGAGGAGTTGCAGGACCATTTCGAAAATAAGAGTGACAATGTAAGCCTGTGCTAGTGGAGTCCAACCTGGGATTTGAGGGCTGCATTCTGCCCTAACACTAACTTTGCTAAAAAGAAAGTGATCATAATATTAAAAGTATTCTATACCCCACATTCATTTGTTCGTTAAATGCCAGAACATCAGGGAACTTTTATAACCCAATACTTCTTTCCCACACAGAACCATGTAGCTCATAAGAAGGAAAAAAGAGGAAGCTAATCTAATTTGTGCAGGATTGGTTCATAGGTCAGTATAGAACCATCCTTTGCTCTAGTTTTGACATGTTCTACAAGTTGTGGAAATTATAAGATGGGAGACATCTGTGCACAAACCCTTCATAATGTAAAAAAAACAAATAGGAAGTTTTTGTCTCTTATATTTTGACAGGGAGATGTAGGTGGAGAACAAACCCAAAACCTGTTTCTTCTATTGGCAGCTCTTCCAGCTGTAAGGGCGATATTTTTGTTTGTTTGTTTTTCCCATAAAACACAGTTATTTGTGACATTTGAGTGCATAAGAATCTCAGCAACAGGTCATAAAAAAATCTGAATTTCTTTTTATGTTTTAATTTTTTAAGCCAAATTTATGATTTGGGCATCTCAAATACGTGCAAAGGATTCCAAAATCCTGTGTGCACACATGATACAAGTGGTAGCAGCAGCATCTTAAAAAGCTCACAGACAGAAATCAGTGTTTGGCCATTTAGGCAGTGTTCAGTTTTATTTTGGTAGATAGACTATTAATATGTCTTCAGCTGAAGTGGTCTTTTCTAAATTCTTGTGATGGGAATCCCTTGTGATCACTGTCCTTTGAAATAATACGCCTGAACCTCTGAGATCTGGAGAATTCTTTGTATTTTTTTAGCATTTCTCTTAGAACAGCAGCTTAAGGCAGACCCAGTAGGCTCCCAAGGGCATGCATGAATTTCAAAACTGTAAAATCTTTATGTGAGATTGATATGTCTGAACACTGCACTTGAATGTACAGTTAGCATTTGTTTTTCCTCTAACAAAAGATTACTTCATTTTAATGAGGAAGGAAGTGTTTTAGTACATGGTTTTATACCTATAATACTCCATTGTTTAAATTTTGGAAGACAGTGCATACTACACAGTATTTGTTCCATCATTTACAATGTTTGAAGTACACATGAGGCAAGCAGTAAGCTTTTGGCAATGCTTGAATATACTATTTCAAGAAAGAATTAAACTTTTAAACATTTAAAGGTTGTTGTGGGGACTGACTTGTGACCTCTGAATTGGACTCATTCCCTTTGCATTTATTTTTATTGTCCATTAGTATGCTCTTGAATAGACTTAGCCACTGGTAGTGTTCGAGTGCATTTTTTTCTGGGATGAAATATGAAAAATAGGATTTGAATGTGTGAACATAATGAGATTAAATTACATTTTTGCCAAGAAAGCATGTTACCCATGTTAGAGCTGCAGTCCAGAATGAATTACAACTTTCTCCTTTCCTAGGTTCCTCATTGATGTCGATTGTTAATTTGTTTCCACTCTGACAAACCTGTTCTATAGTATCATTAGAACCAAATGGCAACATCATTTCAGCACAGGTGCTTTCCTTTCCGTGTGTGGTAAGACATTCCCTGGTCATGCGTTCGACTTTGAATAGTCCTTAAAGTGCTTTGGGATTTATGTGGATAAAAAGCACTGTAAAATGCAAAGTGTAATCATATCCTCACCAGGGAACGTGAATTACTTTCAGAGTTACTGCAGTTCCCAGAAATTGTACCTATAGTCAATATGGAAAGGTCAAGTATTGCTTTTAGAAATCAGGGAGGTGTCACTTTGCACCTATTCTGATCCTTATATTTTCATAACAATAAATTTGCAATTTCAACTGTGTCATAGAATCAGAGAATCATGAAGGTTGGAAAAGACCTCAAGGATCATCAAGTCCAACCATCAACCCAACCCCACCCAACCCACTAACCCATGTCCCCAAGCACCACATCCACACGTTTCTTGAACCCCTCCAGGGGTGGTGTCAAGTGTACCTAAGTACACCTGAAGAGCCCCTTCGCTTGCACCAGATTAATCAGAAAGGGAACTAAAGATATATGAAGGGCTCACACATCCACCAGATATAAAGGCAGGAACCTCCTTACTCTTCAACTTACAAACCCCTCAATGTAACGTGGTTCTGTTGGGTCTGGTGGAGTTTGTCTGAATTAGACAGATATATCCACTGGTTTGCAACAAAGAATCTCTGCGCCTTCAGCCTTGCAGAGACTTATGTTCTGTGCTATAAACCAACGAAGGGAAAACACCAGAGAATTCTAAGGATGAGTTTCAACCAGAGAAAGAAACTGTTGTATTGCGTTCTTATCATTCTTGTGGGAGAAAATGGCTCTTTTCCTACCATCTGAACTGTGAAATGACTGAAACCATCAGAACTTCTTCCTACAGGAATCCATCTTATTGTAGCTTGAGACTGGAGAAATCAATTTGGTATCAGCCTTGGATGCTATCAGTGCTTTTCTCTTTTCCCTTGCTCTTTTTGCAAAAAAAGTTTAAAAGTGAAAAAAAATGAAAAAGAAATCCTCCTTAAAACAAAATTTTGTACCTTTTCACTGAGATATTATCTCAAAAAAAAATTTAAAAAAAGGGAGCATTCAGAATCAGCCTTTCTTCATTTCTGCCTTGGCTAGTGACTGATTCACTCACACAGGAAAATCATGTTCTTCGGATGTATAAATATTTGGATTCAAAGAAGAAAAGATTCCACTGGACCTGTATAAACTGCCAAGGGGAGATGGTTTGCACTATGGGCTGAACGACTGCATTTATCACCTGTGAAATCTTTTTATCCCAGCTGTCCTGAACTCTGTTCTGTGTTTTCTCTTGAGTGTATTTGGCAGCCATAATCAACACATTATTCTTCCAGATAGTAGCAGCTTCCATTAGTCTAATCATGATTTTCAAACAGCTTTTCATAGGTTTTCTCCTTCTTAGGTCCTCGATTATTAAGAACTCTAGACCAGTAGCATCCTACTTCTGGCTCTACTTAGTGAAAACAACATTTATAATAACAGCTGCAACAAAGAAAGGATTTGGGAAATACATGAATTCTTGTCTAGGGAGGAACTCCTGCAGTTTTTTGTTGATTTAAGATAGATAACAATTAGATTAAGATGGATAACTTAGGCTCCAGTAAGTTTCTGGACCTTTCATGACCTTGTATTCCTTCGCAGAAACAACTGACTCAGATGCTTCTTGCAATATGTCTGTGCTACAAGTTCTCATGTAGGCAGAAACCACCTTCCTGCAACTGTTGTGTGCAGAGATGTAATGGTTTAAGTCACAAAGCTTCTATACAGTTTATTTAATTTCAGCAAACACAGGTATATCCTGGTTCTGGAGAAAAAGAAGACGGGGTTGTATGGCTTGAAATCTCTCTTGTATGTATTTTGCAAGATGAAGCAAAACACTGGTGCTTTACCAAATCATCATCTTGAAAGCAATGTTATTGCATTCCTCTTTCACCATGCCCCAAATGGGCAGCAACAGATGACCTGGCATTCATTCCTTTGTAGTGTTCATGTGATATCACCAAGCATCTGAAGTCTGCCTATGTGGTTTATGATGTCACAGAATTCCTGGAAAAAATAATTTCTTTGTAAGTAACTGCAGCTCATCAGTTGTTCTATATATAACTCTCACAATAGCAACCATCTGCTGAGAGCCAGGCTGCTCCCCTCTTTCTTTTTTTTTCCTTCATCACATCAAATTAGCTTGAGGATGATTTCATATACATATGGTTTGAATACTGCTAACAAAGCCAGAATGAACTCTGAAAGCCACTGCAGGAACCTTTTAGTAGGCTCTGAGACACTATCCAGAAAATTTGGTTTGCTTGTTTGTTTTCAGTTTTCAAACTTTCTGACCAGCTGAGTGGTGATGCTCAGAGGTTGCATATGTGAGATACCCAAAAAGTGAACAAACAAGCAGAAAGGTTTGGTTTTGATCTGAAGATGCTGACAAATTGTCATTTCTGTTGCTGTGTGCTGTGCATCTACTTGTGTGGTAAAAGTAGCAAAGTGTTGGGGATTGTGACTGCAATTAACATTTCACAATCAGATCCCATTTAACAGTTTAAAGTTTTACTGCTTTGTGCTTCCTGCAAGAGTTCTACTAGAGCTTTCTGTATATGGGAGCTGCAAAGTGGAGCTACAGAATCATATTGTGAAAAGGAGAATTGCTGTATTGATTTAAGCGTGGCTCTACTCTGAAGAAGGACTTTATAAAAATAGTGGTTTGGGATTCTAGACAATGACTTCCAAATCAGCTTCACTCATTTTATATGGAAAAAAAGAAGTGGAGAGAAAAGCAACGGAATTTTTAATGACCAGTCCAGCCGAATCTGATTGGAGCATGCAAAACCAGATTGTGGCTAGTGTGTTGTTCTAGACAATAAAGACCTAATGGACCAAATATTGCCCTGAGATTTTGGAACTCAGAGTCCTGAAATTATGTTCTTTTATGCTTTAAATTTTTTTGTCTCTGTTGGAGTTTAACAGGTGTGACTGAAAGCACATTTTGAAATACATGAGGTTTTGCTGCGTAGTGAAATTTAAGATTGCTTAAGAATGCTTACTCTGAACTCTGATGTTTCCTCCTTCTTCTTTCATAGCCGCCTTCACTTGGTGCTTCCACAGCTAGACTTGTACTGATATTCTATCTGTCTGAGACTTGTCTGCAGTATAGTGTGACCGATGCCATGACTGTAGTGCAAATTCACAGAATCACAGAAGGGTTTGGGTTGGAAGGGACCTTAAAGATCATCCAGTTCCACTCCCCTGCCATGGGCAGGGATGTCCTCAAATATCAATTCTGTTGAGGAGAATGTCCTTAAATGCTAATTCTGCTGTGGGTTTTGAGCTGGGAAAATAAAATATCCAGTCCTGCTTTACAGTGCTGCAAGTAGTAAAATCATAGCTCTCCTAGTAAAATAAGTGAAGCTGGCTCTGATTATTCGTGAAATCAGAATTGCTGAACAAAGTACATTTTAACAACATATAACTTTTTCTCAGTGTAATTGCATTTTAAATATGTTTGGGAGTATTTTATTGCTCGACACCTTTCCCTGAGCCTGTCTATTTTCATTCCCATGCTACAGCTCACAGCCCCTTCATTTGTTCAGCTTCGCCCCTGAAGAGAGCCTAGCGTGGGACTGCACTCTGCTCTTTTCACAGGATTGTGAAATGATCCTTAGAAAGCAGGCAGTGAAGCAGAGTCACTGGCTTGCATGTATTCTTCCAAAATTCCTCATCTGTATAAACTAATGATCAACACTCTTCTCCCTCTCTCTCTGAGCTTGGCTTGATTAGGTAAAGCAGCCCAAAATAAAATAGTACTAAGGTTGTAATTTCATTCCAGATTTTTCACCAAGAACTACAAGCGTACACTCTTCCTGCACACCACCTACTTGTTCCCATGCTGTCTGCTGCCATTTTCAATTATTCTAGCAGAGCTGCTTTCTACAGCTGGGCTGTAACTGAATTGGGAAACTGATCCAGGTTAAATATCTATGGTTTGCAGTCTTTTTTTTTTTTTTTTTCTTTGAGCTGAATCAGTTCCCAAACACAGTTCAGTTGTGCTGGCACTATTAAGGCTGTAAAAAAAATATTGGGAAATTGAAGGGGCGACAATTCAACCAAGAGGTATAGCTGTTCATATAATTCCTGGAAAAGGAATATTCAGCTTGCAGTCTTGCTGTTAAGAGCTGTCCTTTCTGGATTAACAAGACACCAGCTTCAACACCTGCAATGGGCAGGCTATTTTAACATCTAGAATGTTTCATAACAAAGCAGACTATAGGAAAAAAAAAAAGGCAGTATGGTGGTATATGTAGTCTGCATCACAGGGTATGCCTAGGAAAATAATTACTGTAGAATAACAGAGGAATAAAGTATAGACAAGAGATTAATGTATACAATTTAACCAGGATTTTTTGATCGTCTTTTTAAGCAGCTATAAATAAGTAGAGATTTAGTTGCTAACTCAATCTTTATTTATTTATTTATTTCATTAGCCTGTTTTTCTGCAATTCAAGTATTTGTGCCCTGATAACAAGGTGGTCATACTTGTTATAGTTTATAAACAAAAATACAAGTTGTATGGCAAACCTATAATCTCCATATAGATTCTAAAGCTTTAGCTACTTATAAAATGAAGACAATAAGGAATTCTTTTAATTTTAAGTTTCCAACAACATATATATAACTAAATGAAAGAGGCTTTAGATGCTTAAAGATTTTTTTTTAATATGTTGTTTAAGAAGAGAAAGGTGAATGTGTGATGGTGTGTGGGCATTTGAAATCTAAAATTAAATATCTGATAGGTGTTTAAAGTTTTCTATTCTGCATTTCAAATGTATTGGGAACACCGCCGAAGTCCTACTAAAGCTGAACATCTCTAAATATTGACCAAGGATTTCCATTTGTCTGCTCAAGGAAGTATGGCAGTAACTATTCCAAAAAAATGTATTTAAAGCCAAACCTTTTCTGAAAGCTCTTGTCATGGCACATAAAATTCTTGTACTGATTTGCCCAGTTAAATTTTTTCATAAAAGTAACAAGAACATGAAAGTCTAAAGCCTTATAGAAAATCCTAGTCCTACTTACACTGGTAGGTAGCTATCTAGCCAAAAAAAATTAAGAATGGTCTTAACAATGGGGAAATTGATAACCTCTTGGAAATCAGGGATTAGTAACTTTCCCTCCCATCAGGGTGCCCTTTTCTAGTCTTCCTCAGTATTCTTCAGCGTAGTAAGGCCAGCTGCTTTGCTAATGTCCTCACTGTTAGAGTATCTTGGAACAAGCGTAGCTGCTTGACTACTTGCAGTACAATTTGTTATCCAAGTGTTTGGCCAGGTTGTGAGTGCCAGGTAAACCCTCTTGGAGCGTTCTTGTATATTTATTACAGGTGCAATAGCTAAAAAATGGGACAGGTGATTTCGGTTGCCAGATTATTGAGCTATAAAAAAGCAAAATTTATTTATTAAATTAACATTGAGGACTCTTCTTTCCTTTTCATTGTAGACACCAATGAATCAAGCCTCAAGCCGATCCCACTGCATTTTCACTATTCACATCTCCAGCAAGGAACCTGGATCTGCAACTATCCGACGCTCCAAGCTACACTTAGTAGACCTTGCTGGATCTGAGCGCGTTGCAAAGACTGGAGTTGGAGGTCACTTGTTGACAGAAGCCAAATATATCAACCTGTCGTTACATTATTTGGAACAGGTAAAACTGGAATACAGTGAAACATTTCTCCCTCTATGACATTCCTGTTTAGTAATGTGCAATGTTTTGGAAATGTTGATTCCAATATTCAGTTAGTCTTAGGGTATTTATTGCAGTTTTTAAAAGTGTTTGAGTAAATAGCTCTTTGTTTGAAATAACTTACTTTAATTTAGGAAAAGCTTAACAAGTAAGGTTATAGTAGATATACAGGGTAGTATTTAGAAAATAGTTTTTTTGTTTTATTTGGAACCCTAAAGATATTTACAAGATTGCAGATGTATTTCTTCTAAAAATGTTCTCTGTGATTTTTCTCCACCTTCCACAGCTGGGATCAGGATGTGTCACTCACGAATCATTGAACTAAAGTGATTGGGTTTTATTTGGTTCAAGCATTGTAATATGGTAAAATATTACGGTTTTCTCTTGTATGTTGTTTTATTCCTCTACCAATGTGAATCTTTGGTCTCTTTGAGAGAGGAGTTAGCTTTGTTAATGTATTTATGGAGTAACTACTGTCATTGGTGTTATACCAATAGGTCTCATAGTTGCAACTATATTGCAATAATAATAATTTCCACAAATCTTTATCATTCAGCTGTTGCTGAAAAAGGTTTAGCCTGTTGATTTAAGGTGTACTAAAATCTCTCTCCTCTTTTCACTGTTGCTTTTTATTTTTCCATTTTGGAAAAGGCGAATATTGAGAAAGGAGACTAATCCTGACTAATCTTACTATATTTCTTTTTAAAAAGAAACTGAGTCAAGATAGCGGTGGTGAATGGAGACTTTGAAGATGAAGCATTCCAGTGGAAAGATTTGGTTAACAGATGATGATGATGATGATGATGATGATATCATCATCATCAACAAAAGCAACTATTATTATTATTATTATTATTATTGTTATTGTTGATTTTTTTATTATTTTTCCTCCACTGATTGGATATAATAATTTTCCCTTCACAATCAGAAAAATTAGATGTTGTTAGGAGCCTTGTAATTTTTGTGAATGTGGTAAGTGTGATAGTGAAGGGCGTTCACACTCACTAATATCTTATTTTCTAGTATCTCTTCGTTTCTTTCCACCAGGTTTATAGGCATTGCCTGTATTCCATAGCATTCCTTCCTTTCAGGTATTTCTTTTCAGCTGAGTATTTCTGGCATTGCTAAAAGCCATTTTTGCTTATTTATAAAAACCTAGTGCGTATTACATCTACGTCTCCCTGATCTGCCATGATGTTTTGTATTCTAATGCTGTCAAACACCAAGCAAGGCTAAGAAACACTCAGCAATCAATGAAATCTATTTGGTGGACTCCGTGCTATTAAGTTCCAACCATTGAAGGTTTTCACGTGTGGATTTCAGACCTCACACCTGTAAGAGAAGTGAAGTTCTTTCTAAGACTGAATACATAATATTGTTTCCACAGTACATTAAACAGTGTTGCTTTTGCCAGAAATTTGTTATTTTTTGGAATTCTGCTGGAGAATACGGTATTTTTTCCTAAGGCTTCTTTACAAATTTTTATATACGATAGTAGCAAGTCTGTGAGGCTGTCATTTAGCGGGAGAAATAAGGGGGGCAGGGGAGAAGAAAAAAGTGCTTTACTCTAAAATTCAGATTTGTCCCTTTTAATTTACACTCTGGTATGTGTGTTATTTAGCAAAAATCGCAGCTGAGGAGCAGCATTGAAACATAAAATTTTGTGGTTGTCTATATGTGAAAATTCCTTAAAATTGCAATTAAGAATTGCAATTGTTCCACTTACTGGGAAGAATATTTTTCATTTTTGTGTTCTGTGTTTTACTGTTAACAAGAACAAATCTCTTAGATTTCATTTAATCTGTGCTTGGAGAGATTTCATATGTCAAAAGAAGAAGCTTAAGGCACAGCAGGTGGCAGTCAGTCATTTACTATTACACTGAATTTTTTTCGTACCCCCCATTTGTTTAAATTTTACCTTGAAGAAAAATGTCTGTATTACAGTTGTACTCATGGGAAGTGATAAGGGTAAGTGATTCTAAAATCTAAAACCTCTTCAGAATCATACAAATTGTACTTGGGATCCTTCTTATTTACTGTATAATTTTTATGTTTTATAATGCAACATTGCATGAGCTTCTGTGAGATTGAATTTAATAATTTATATAGTGTGTTTTGAGATTCTTAGGTGTGAAGTGCTACAGAAGAGTAAAATATTAGTATTTTGTCATGCAACTTTTAACTCCTATTTTAGAATGAATACAGTTGGAGATAAGCACATTGGGTTTCGTCGGCGATTGTGTATCGTTAATAACAATGTTTTCTAGTACTGAATAAAAGACCACTGAAGACAGTAAAAAATATCTTTTTGTTTTCTGGGAATTGGGCCATTCAATCCTGACCCGGCACTAATATTAAGGTACAAGAATTCCTTAAAATCAGCTTATTTACTTGCTCAACTATTTAGCTGTCTACTGGTGTTTTAGTGGTGAGTTATGTCGTTTCAAAACACCTTGCAGAATAGAATAGTCATGCAAAATGACTTGCGTCAAGTCGACAATGGGAACACTTCAGATCATATCGTAATGGAACTTTCTGCCTTAAATTATGTTGATTTAAATCAGCGTATTACAGTTCTGCTTCAGTAATACTATCGAGGCCTTTTAAGCCTAGACCTACCAGTAGTTGAAAAAAGAAACAGTCCCCAAGCCTTTTTTTATATCAAAAGGTTAATAACACCTTCTTTTTGACCATGTAAAAATGAGACAATTTTCTGGTTCTTACGTTTGCTTGGCTGTTAGAAGAACCAGGTTCCGATCCTGTACAGGTGGTCTCTGACCCTTTGTGAAAGAGT